GTTCCCATATTCACCTGGAGTACTTGATCTTCGGTAGGAGGCTCTCTTTGCTCGAACCTATCACCATACTGCATGTTTAGGTGGTGAACCCAAGGATCTTCCCATGTTGGCATCTGGTCGTCTTCCTCTATTGCGGTAGGATCGACCGTGACCATATTTGACATCAACCTTTTGAACGTCTCGCCAAGGCTAGTGTCGGAACCCCCAGCCGAAGAGTCGGAAGAGTACCCGTTTCTAGCCTTGTTAGCGATCTGATCAATGATTTGCCAGCAACATTCGTCGTCGGACGAGGAGACGTAGCCGAGACCTCTTTTATAGCGATAATAATCGTCGGGTTTTCCCTTCGGTACATAGGCCATTCGAGGTGGAACTCGTGGGCCTCGACCAAAGAAAAGACCTTCTCCGAGTGTGAAGTCATACCCATACTTTTCCATCATATCGCGCGCTTTTGCGTCATATCTGAATAGATGAGGAGCAGGTTTATCTTCATCTTCTTCTTCTTCTAAGAAGTGATCGGGTGTCGGAGCTTCTTTTCCTTTGCCGTAGACGACTTCTTTTCCACTCCATTTTCCCGCGGGGATGACAAGCGTCGCTCCGCATGGATCTTGTACCTGCTTTTTCGTCAGACAAAATGACTGAAGAGGCATATACAGGTCAGGGTTATCATAAAGCTCTTTCGTGACGTCATCAAGACACATCGAATACTCTAAATCATCGTTTATTGATAGTTCTTCGGCAAGTTGCCAATTACAACTATTCTCCGATGATTCTTCATCATCAAGATTGATTACAATGGGTACAATGTCATTAAGTACAAAACCACCATCGTAATCAAGCCCAGTTTCGGTATCAGCTTCATCTCCGCTGTCCGTTCCTTGGGCCGGTGATTCAGTATCGGATTCAGCACCGTATAGAAGGGAATCGGTGAAATAGTTTTCCAATCCCTTAAACGGTTGCTTATCCGCGACCACCTTCTTGACTTCATTATTCGAGTCTATGTACTTGAGGCATTGATGCAGGGTTGACGGAACTATAAGGTTACCGTGGATCCAAGGTCGACCCAACAGCAAATTATAGGACGTTTCTGCATCAATTACATAGCAAGTAACTTCTGATTTTAAATCTCCGATCTGGCACTTGATTCGGATCTTCCCCAAGGGTCTAGACCCGCTGGTGTTGAATCCATAAATCGTAGTGCCAGTGGAGGCTAATTTACTCGTCGGGATTCCGAGATGATGCATCAATCGGAATGGCATTATGCTAACAGCGGAACCCGGATCAACTTGGATCCGGTTGACCATGCTGGAGCCAATGTGCCCGGTGAAGTACAAGGGCCGATCATGCTTCGAGTTCTTTGTTTGCATATCCTCTTTAGTGAAAGAGATGCATGGAAAATGATGCGCCGCTAGATTGCAGTGCTGAGCTGACGGCTCTGGCCCTTCAGGGGATGGCTTGATCCGAGTTAGAAAAGCTTCAGAGTCACTCAAGGCTTCTTGCAGCGCTTTCCTTGTATCCTTGGATAGGCGCAAAACTCGTAAAGGGTTATCCTAGCCGGGATATTGGCTAATTGCGCCATGATGTCGAAATGAGGTGGAGAGCTCGCATTCCCCGGTTTGTCTCTTCGATATGAATACCTTTAGTGGTGACGACGAATCCCAGGAATTTTCCGCTGGACATTCCAAGGAATGATTTAGTGGGGTTCATCTTCAATTGATGACTCCTCATGAGATCGAACATCGTCTTCAAATCCTTGATGTGATCCTCTTTGTTGCGGCTTTTCACAACCAAATCATCAACGTAGCATTCGACTGTTTTCCTGAGATGTTCTTGGAAAATCTTAGTCATCGCTCGCTGGTATGTGGCACCGGCATTCTTCAGACCGAAAGGCATCACCGTATAGCAGAAGACGCCGAGGGGTATTCTAAACGCTGTATGCTTCTCGTCTTCCGGATGCATCTTGATTTGGTTATATCCCAAAAAGCCATCCATGAAGGACATCCTCTCGAATCCACATGTATTGTCGATAATGACATCCGTGATT